CAAAGAGAGGTACTACTCTCTCAGAGTTTCAATTGTTGTGTTCCGCCTATATTTTCTACAGGAACTTCTCATGAACAGACGCTTCGAAAAAGATTGCTTTCATCAAAAAAGGAAAACTTGGGCGAAGATAAATTTTCTTGGCTGCATACTCACTCAGATTCAAGATTTGATGAAACAAGTACCGCAGCTGTGAGCGGGGCGGTAAATGTACCAACGGCAGTATGGTATATCTAGATTTAAGAACTAAGAATCAAAGTGAAAAGATTGATCAGAAAATGTACATACATCAGAAGCTCCGGCGAGGGGAAAATGATTGTCTGATGTCTCCGGAACAAAAAAAATGCGAAAAAATCACCCAAAAATGCGAGAGTTAGAAAAAATAACCCATTGTTTATAACAGTTTCAAACAAGGAAGTAGCAAATGGTGTCTTGAGACAAAAAAAAGAATGTGTCAGTAACATTTTAGGGATTAGAATGGACTTCAGTTTTGGCCAAAATGCGCGAAATCTTTGTGGAAAACATGAGTAACTCAGATAATATAATACACACACAACGACAACCTATTATAATTAATCTAGAAGAGACAAGCTAGCATAAGACAAGTGGGCGATACGATGTCACACTCGTAGCTGCCAATCCAGAAAGCAATTTCTCGCCATTGCTTCGGCTTCTGCTCGATACTTATGAAGTTCGTTGATCACTCGGCCATTGCCATCGTGCTGCTCCTGGATATGCGCCACTACAGCATTTTCATCGTGAAATGACTCGAAAGAGCACAGCGAACACCTTAACGGTTTTTTCGCATAAGCGCAAAAATTTAAGTAAAAAAAAATTCTGGAAAGATTACCCGCTAAGGTTACGTGATCTACTGTTACTGGACCCTGATGTTACCGAGATGGTCCCTAAGCCAAGCGTAGCTACGTAAGGCTTTTCGTTCCAGGGCTGTATATCTCCGGCTAGTACCTGCTGTGTCTAGAAAAGTCTCTCTGCACGCCACCCCCTCAGCAATTATTGCAGAAGACTACTCCTGCTCAGTGGTACCACACATGGACATATTATTTTACCGCAGTTGCTTACCTGTAAATAATTTTTTGTAGGTGCCTCTCAAGCAAATGTGACAATCGTCGTTTCCTGCTAATTGTTGCGCCACACTGACGGCACTTAGCGCGTCGTCCTTCGTCCGAAATAGTAATATTCGAGAGGCGCTTTGGTCGTCCTGGGAAACAGCGGTCATGCATCTCCGAGAAGGCGGCCCGATGCTCGACCACATTTGCTACTGGCTCCAGACCCTAAACAGCAGTAAAGCGCTGCTGTTCATTTAATCAATTCTCGTACACCTCAGGCGTGTAACTAGTTATGAGCGAATAGAAGTAAAGTAAAAGAAACTCGCAAACAGAAATAGTAATACAAATACAGATCGGAAGAAGTTAAAATTATTTATGTGAACATTGTGTATGTATACCATTACATATACATAAGTATATAACGGTATCAACTAAAGAAATGATATTTCAGTCCATCAAGCTGTATTTGTCTTCCTGTTTTGGCACTAAAAAGAAATGTGTGCGACTTCTTGGACCATAACATTCCTTTCTATAATTTTTGTATAAAATTAACATTTTCACTTAAACTATGTTTTTCTTTGTAAACTTTTCCGTAAAATTTGCCATAAAATCGTTTATTACTCACTATTATTTCACTAATTCGTTCATTTCTTTCTAAATATCCTGCTAATTCAAGCCATTTCTTCCCAAGACCGCCTGAACAATCAGTAACGGGATCCAGTGTTGTTAATGTTACTGAGATTCTCCAACACTTCAAGCATAGCCATGCCTGATCATTCAGTTCCTGGGCTACATATCTCCAGTATGTGTCTATTTTCCTCCATTTTTGAAAAACGTAAATTCGAGCACCCGTTTGGAACAGTGGTCAGAAGGACACAAATCGCTCGCGAGAGCAGAAAGAACTCACTGCAATTTCTTTCTTTTTATGCCCATTTTTCATGTGTCTCCTAACAAGACGGCTTTCAGCAGCCCCGTAATCGCATAGAGGACATTGATGGAGTGACATCTGCAAATGAACTTCCGCAATATGTCGTGACGTTTGACGTACTTCTACTTCACACAGACGGCATCTGAAGTAAAACTAATGTTAAATATGTTCCTGAAAAACCAGTGATTTTTTCGAAATTTTCAATAAGGAAAATGGAATGACTTTTTATGCGTTTTTGCCGTGCAGCGCTAGAGCGCTGCAACAGGCAGCAAAAACGCATA